AGCTCGACCATTTCGCGCTTCCCTGAAAGTATATGTCTGCTTTGAAAGAACCAAAAATAACCTGGTGTTCCTCTACCCCATCCGTCGTGAAGGGAGCTCCATTTCGGAATCGAACCACTCCCCTTCACATCCGGACTCGACATGTACTATCCACTGCACTGTGGGCCTTTGTGCTCCAGGATCAGCCTGTCAGCAAATCTATTGTGTATCTGCCCTTTCAAACGGGCATACATTTTTCTTCTCCTGTCTGCCTCCCACAAGTTTTTTCCGGGACGGCTTTTTTTTGCCGGCTTTTCGCTGTTTTCGAGGGTAATTCTCCCACTCCCCTTCCGAACGTGGGTCCCACTTAGCCCAAGTTATGCAGCAGTGGTGGGAGCTCATGCAGAGATTAGCAACATCATAAGCCATGACCAATCGAGGCTAGCTGAGGCAGCAGCAACAGCAGTTACACATTAACACGTGCACTCCAGGCGAATCTAGATAACTTCATCCGATCGTAAAAGCCTTAATTTAAGAGTACAAAAAATTAGCCTAGATTGTGACTTCGAATAAGAACCAAAAGTTAAAATCTTCCTACGGTATATAAAAGTCACTGACCGAAACGAATCACCAAAGCATAGCATCCTAAAATAAGGCGAAAGTTCGGCCAAATAATGCGCATTGACAAACAGGCTTTTCTTCTCGACCACCAATTCGAACTGACGCAAGCGTGTCCGCTGTGAGAACGTATCATCCGAGATTTTCATCGTTTTAACTGAAACTTCCAGAATTGAACAGAGCTAAAGTGTCCTGTTCATTGGGCTTAACGATAAACGAATGTAAAATTCTGGTTTAGATCCCGAACAGTGAATATGTCTCCAGCCAAACATTGTACAGTGAAGAAATACTGAATGTTATGATCTTGTACATCATCGTCAATAACATCAAATTTTTCAGAATGGAAGGACCATGCCTCTTTCTTCAATATCATAGTGTTGCAAACAACGGACGGTGGTGAAAACGGAAAATAGATCCTCGAAGATCGTGCAGCGTTGAAAAGTCTCCTCAATACACTGGAAGATTCTTGGAGAGTACCTAGCAACTGGGAAAAGCGAAAGATTCCCGCTCAACATTTGGCGTGCAAGATGCTCTTATAAGAGAGGATGTAAAATCCACTGGTCAAATGAAATGGTTACTTGCCTGGCTGAGAACTCATGGAAATAATATTTGCAATAAAAAAAACAATCGGCACAAATCGCCACTTAAAGAAGCAGCCCCAACATAAATGAGGTTGCCAGCGGTCAAGGGGCAAGAGGCTACAGCACAGTTTTGTCAGCCTTGACTGCTCCTTAGTAACAACAGCAACTTCACATTGGACAGTTTTCGTAGTATGCTAGAATTTATATGAGCACAAAGCGGTATGACAGAAGCGTTTTCTGATAAGCTTTTATGAGCGCTTGGTGAATGGCTGGTGCCTATAAAAAGCATCCGGAACAAATGTTGATAGCCTTATCGCTCAATTTGTGGTTTTTGAACAGTGAGAATATGAAATTCATGCCCTTACGCATCGCTTCACACCTAAACCGGACAGAATTCGGTCTTGCACTAGATATCGGAGGACAGCAAAGTTCGAATGAAGATTTTGGTAATAATACATAAAGTATAAATATTATACTATATGTATTATATAAAATATAAAAACTGATTAACTGAGCAGGAATGTCATGGTCTATTAAGATACACATACCTTCATTCATCACCACAACTGAATCTCAGCGGTACGGCGGCTGCGGTGTTACACAATTAAAGGCAGTCAAAATATGTATGTAAAAAAAGAAGATGTGGAACCTACTCAAAACTGAAGGGTATGTAATTGCAAAAATAAGTGATCAAAAAGCGTCATATGAAAACAAAAAGAGAATGCACTCACCCAAGCTATAACAAATGAGAACGACTGATTATTAACGATCCTAGGGCGCCTTTTATAGCAAAATTTTAATTTAAGTGCATGTAAATAAATATACAGCAAATATTATATACATATATCACAAGATCTGTGCACCCCTCACAGGCTACCCTCTTCTGCACCGAACGACAAAGGGGCAGAGGTAGTTGGGAGTATTTCAAGGATAAAGCAGGTACCATTAGCAGCCTCCTGCTAGCAAGGCTGTTGACGCATCCTTTCGAAGATTGCTTACAAGAAAGCTGAAAGTGAGTTTGACCCCTTGGCATGCACCAGTATCAATTTGCCATCGAAGGGATCGGTTGTCCCTGCGTGATTCTTTCATTTCTTTCGATGGTAAAAATTTCAAACAGTCTTACTAGATATTTCGCAACGACAAATGAAATCTTTAAAAAATTCTTTTATTAGTTTTCTTAATTCGAATTCTCCTACTAATTATACTTCAGCCTGAACTTTCACCAGACGTAACAGAGAAAAACACCGAAGTTCAAAAAATTGGTTGCAAATTCATCCACATTAAATTTAACCTGTGTAACTCCACTTTCTCAAACAACAAGCTGGTAAGTTGCCGGATTTTTGGTTTCGCTTTCAAAAATTGTAATATGAACAGAAACAGTGAAAACAGATGGGATTTTGAGTCTTCATTTTATAAAATTTTCTAACTTTTCTAACAAAAAAAAAGCTTTCTAAATTTGATAAAATTTTACGATACTCTACTCTTTGTTTGTAGATTTTCGAAACTAAAGCTGGACTTATTTGCGGATGTCTTAGCAGAAAAATGAAGTAAATTTACTGTCTTAACAGGTCACCATTGGCTAGAGTTTGTTGCCAAGGGAGACAGTCTAGTCTAGGGTTATTTTTAGGAAGAGGAGGCTCGCTTAGTGCCGGGCATACTAACACACAGAAGCAGTGCACACGGCACGAGTGATCGATCATGAAGAGGACTGATGTCTGAAAGAGATGTGGAAAGTCTCAAAATCAGTTAGACGCCTGTACTGCCTCATTTTGCAAAAAAAAGAAGAGGGAAGTTTTCTTACTGATAATGATATTCAGAGTAAGATAAAGACCGAACAAGG